GAAGCCCTACCTCGATTTGAGAGTGACTCTTTGTGGACAAGACTATAGCCACAGGACCATGTATACTTCCAATTGCAGATAAACCCATCTCCAAAGTCCCTGGCTATCTTGCAAGCAAAGTGTTTGATACTGTAGCACCTTCACAGAGTTTTCATTTCACCTGATGCTGTACTTGTCTTGAAAGTCTTCTTAGGAAAGAAATATTTTGAAAGTGTCTGGCACTGAATCACAGATATCTTGGTATTTTACTTTTCCATAAACTTCCTTATGATTTTCTATTAATGAAATGTATTGTATATATGAATTGAGGTTGGATTGGCTGACACCAACTGCCAAAAAACCAACCAGGTAATATATGAAGATTTTGAAAAGTGGACTTTTAGGTGACTGTGTTAGACAGGGTTCTCTAGAGAAACAAAACCAGGACACTAATAATTTTATATATACCAGATAGATAGATAGATAGATAGATAGATAACATAAAAAATAAACAATTAATCTATAAAGCACTACAAATGGCTCAGTGCTACTCACTCCCATGAGACACTAGCAGTCCTTCAAGTCTTGAGGGCACCGGGTAGTCTTCTGTAGAGCAATTCAGGCTATCAGGTCACCAACAGTCAGCCAGATGATAGGGTCTGACAGTCCCCAGCTCAGATGTTAATTCCAATGGTGTGGTGAAGCACGTATTGCAGGAACCTCAAATTACAGCGACACAATTCATGGGTTAGGTGTCCCACAGGTAGTGTAGCTTGCAAATGGAAGCACAGAACAAGCAAGGCAGCTACACACTGGTCCAGTGATCAAAGAGCAAGAGAGAGAGAGAGATGAGGCTCACCGAGCTATTTCTTTCTCTACCCTTCAACCATTCTCACATTTGTTCATTGACCATGTTGGCACAACAAACCTACTTATCACAGTGACATATACCTATACTAAGGTGACCAGACATCCCGCTTTTGGTGGGACAGTCCCGATTTTTGGCGCTTTAAAAAGTCCCGATTTTTGGAAAGAATGCACGACAAGCTTGGGAATGGTCTATTTGGTCCATATAGACCAAATTTTTAATCAAGAAACCACCCCCACCCCCGGTCAATGGTGTCCCACTTTAAATCTGGTCACTTTAACCTATGCTTACAAATGTATAAATAAATGTATGTATGTATGGCTAGGCCTTGGCACAACATTTCCAGAGAATTCTATATCCAAGGTGGCTCTTCCGTGTAAAAGTCCGCCACAGGGACCAGAGTCTTCGTTTGATTCTAGACTTGATTCTAAATCAGACTTCGTTTGATTTAGAAACCATCTGTTTCTAAAGAACATCGCCCAACAAGAGCCACTACAATGCAAAAAAGGGGAGAGGAGTGCCTTGTCAGCACTCTGCAGGATGGCCTGCTGTCGTTGTTTCCCTCAATGTAGGGGAAGAATTAGATACGATTAGGTGACTTCTCTAAGGCTAAGTAGAAGCAAAAAAACAGAGGCAGAATGGAATATCAGAGTTCAAATACCCTAAGTTGGGATGTCTGTCTGGAGGTGGGTATGTGAGTCTGGGTTGACTAGAGAAACAAATTCATGGACACTTATACATGTATAAGAAAGATAGATCTCTATAGAAAGAATAATTGTTTATTAAGAAAACATCCCAGCCCAGTCCAGATCAAGTCCATAAGTCCGACATTTATCCATATGTATGATAGTAGTTTATAAATTCCTCTTCAGACTCACAAAACACATGCAATGATGCCAAATGCAGAAAGATCACAGGCCAGTGGGTAGAAAGTCTTGTGGATATAGTGGTCATGGAAGCATATCAGTGCTGGCATGGGTCTCTGCATGGCTTCTCCAGCTCCAGAGCTCTAGCATAGCTCCATGTGTCTTGTCAGCAGAAAGACAAAGCAGAGTGTGTCTCCCACCTCCAGGGACCAAGACAGGAATTCCCAGGATCCTCAGGAGAAGTTCATGCCCACACAGAGACTTCATTGGCTATGACCTGATTGACAGGCTAGACTCCACCCCTTCGCAAGTTGACAGGAGATTGTGAAACTGCCACAATGAGGCAGAGCTGGGTTGCAGGCATTGCTTAGCACTTACTAACCAGCAGGGATAGTACCAAGATACTTCACTGCTCCAAGTATTAGTTCCCTCCTCTGTAAAACAAATAGAGCAAATGCTCCAGTGAATGTGAACTGTCAGTGAGATAAAGTACACAAATCATTTAGCACATGCCCATGATGGAAGCAATATTACCATTTTTTTTAATGTAGAGGTTGCTTAGCCTGAATCATGTCCATCTTCCTGCTGTCCTCTCATGTCAGTGTCTGGCTTCCTGCTCTACCAGTCACTTTGTTGAGCGATTATAATATTAAGCAGTAACACTTGATTCTTCAGGTTCTTTTGCTACCTATCCCCAAAAGGCAATTTTGGAATGTATTTCATAATGATTAATACTACATTCAAGTTAGTTACTTTTACTCAAATGTGCAACAAAAGAAAAACCACTAAAAATTAATTTTATTTATTCCCGTATCTGCCAGTGCATAAATGATCTTTCAAAGAATCAAATTTCAATCTGAAAAAAGGTATAATGTCCTGCTTTCTGGAAGCACAAAGTTCTGACCCTAATCTCATTTGCATCAGCTTGGTGTCAGGGTTAAGAATGTGATGGGTGACAACATATGTAACAGGATTCATCGAAAACTATTGATTACATATTTGAATTCATTATATGGTTTTCTACTTTCTCTTCAATGAAAAGTGGATGACTACCAAGACTGGATCTAAATCATTATTCTTCTTTTTTGGTTCAAATTTTTGTCTCAAAAACTACTGAGATTTTTTTTCTTTTTTCATTTAAAAAGATAGATAACCCTTCAGAAATAGTTATAAAAGTAATGGCTCCCTGAGGGTATGGGAAGAGGTAGGGAAAGGTGGAAATAGGGAGTTGATAGTATTGATGACTGTATAACCCCACTCAAGGGGAGTGAACAACAGAATTGTATGTAAATGGAAATTTTGGATGGTGTAAGGTAGGGCAAAAATAAAAAATAAGTCAGGGTTCCTGGGGGGGCAGGACAGGGGAGGAAGGAGATAAAGGGGAGCTGATACCGAGGCGTTCAAGAAGAAAGAAAGTGTTTTGCAACTGACTGGTAGCAATTGTACAATACTGCTTGATGCGATTGAACTATGGAATGTTATGATATCTGTAAGAGCTCCTAATAAATTGATTAAAAAGTAAAATAAAACCTACAGATGAATATATCAAATAAATCTACCATAAAATAAACCTAAATTTTCAGCAAACTCTGAATTTATGAAGATCTTCTTGTTCTAAAAAGATTGTTGTGGCCTCTTCTCACTCTTTTGCACTTAAACACAATCTTTATATTCTTTTGGTATTTAAATAAGGTTTAAAACTGCCCTCATTTATTACAACTTCATACATTTCATATGCACCTTTTGAATAACATTTATTTTTATTCAGATGGTTGCAAAGAGTGTATAGAATTTTAGGAAGGCTCTACATGGTGAATGTCTCAAATGTTAACTGAACTGTATGTACTCTTACTACCTTTTGTCTTGATGTTCTTAACGTAAAAACACATGTCAAGGGGAGAAAACTCAAAGAGCAATCAACTATGGTGAAAACAATGGGCTCTTCAGTAATAAATCTACTCATATAGAATACTTTCTCTTTTCTAATTCAACTTTATTCAAAACATCTATGTAAAGCACCTTAAATTCACCTGTTTGTTTACACCATGTCTGTGTATAAACACGGATGTGCTTTTAGTTGATCAGCTAAATAATTTTTTGACAGAATTGAGAAGTGACAATTTGAAGTCTGTGAAAATCTGTGCAGACCACAGCAGTTTGCTTCCCTCACAGAAGAGTTGAGGGTCCTGTCTTATGTTCCCATAGTAGAGGTTGTTTGCATCCAACATGAGTCTGAGATTTGATCCCTATTTCCTCACAAGAATACCAAGCCAGCATTGCCCTCGTGGTCTGCAGAGGAAGCCAGGGTTTACTGTTGATGCGCTCTGCTGGACAGAAAGAGATGGGCTCGTATGACTTATCATCAAGGTGTTATCCTTGGATTGGTATATTGAATTCATTTGCACAAAACTTTCTGATATAATAGCCATGTTAAAATATACCAAGATAGAAATCATGGTTGTGACATTTGTCCTCAAAGGTCAAGCTTTAAAAGTTTTAAAATCCTTTTTAACTTACCTGTTAGCAGAGTCACTCTCACTCACTCAATTCCATCAAGTTGATGCATGAAACAGTTAATGCTCTTAACTGCTGTCCAAAAGGTTGGAGGTTCAAGTACACCTAGAAATGTCTTTAAGGAAAGGCCTTGGGGTGTACTTCTGAAAAACCAGCTTTTGAAACCCCTCGAGCAGAGTTCTGCTCTGTCACACCTGGAGTAGCCCAGAGTTTAGATCGAGTCACTGGCAAGCTCTTTGGTTTGGGGTGTTTGGAAGAACAAGTACAGATTAAATGTATGACTCCGACATTTGTAAATTGGTAAGAGCTTAACAGCTGGCACTGAAATGACAACCTTGTGTGTAAGTGCATGTATGCTGTTTGTTACAGCAGCACCCGTGGCAGTTTTACTCTGTCAAACCTAGGGCCCTGGTCCCTGAAGTCATTCCAAGATTCCTAGCAGCCCTGGCCTTGAGGACCCATAGCCTCATACTTCCTCCCTTCCACTACTGGGCTTTGGAGCCCTCTGTTGTCCAGGTTCCCCAGAAGACACAGCTTTCAAATAGGGTGCTTGGCAGCTGCAGTAGCTGCTTCAGCTTCTTCTTGACTGAACAAGCCCTAGCAGTTGTTGTTGACCCCAAAGCCCCCAAACTAGCACCTTACTAAAGATTTTCACCTGCATCGCATCCACTGCCACTGGTGGGTGAAGTAGCACAATACCATATCTTCTCTCATTGTCTGATCAAAGAATACACTGCTGAGAAGCTTATAGTCTGACCTCTGTGTTTTCACAGATGATGGAGAACCAGCAGCTATTTGGTGCCCTCCGGGCCTTGCTGGAAGACTTTCGCGTGGAGCTTCAGGAGGACAAGCAAGCCCGGATACGGTTGCAGCAGGAGTATGCCAATGACAAGGCTGCTTGGGACATGGAGTGGGCCATGATCAGGTGCCACCTGGAACAGGTACCTCTCCTCACTCACACTGTCTGGTGGATGCATGCTTTAGTTCAGATGCCACAGTGCTGTTGCCCAACAGGAAGAAGGAGTCTCTTAAATACTTCTGTTCTTCCCTATTGTTCCCTCTCCAAAGTATGAATATCACATTTATCGAACAGCCTGATTAAGGTAACATTCCTTTCCCCACTCATATGCTACCATCAAATCCATCCTGACCCATCGTGATGCTAGTTCTGCCCCTGGCTTTAGGGCTTCCCTTTACACTGTTCCCTCAGAGAAGGTCTCATCTCCCACCCGGGCTCCTCTTCCAGCAATAGACTGCTATACCTTGCGACTTGGCACTTGGGTGTGCAGGGAAGGCATTCAGTGCTGCTCTTACTCGGTCTCGGTCATAAGCAGGTACTGTATCTCTGGGTCTCAAGGGAGGATTTCTAAATAATTCTCCCCTCCCTCCCAGCTGTAGGAGCTCTAATAGTGTGGGCCTCTTTTGTATTCCTGCCCCTCCTTAGGGTTAGAGGGTCTGTTTCTCTCCCCTGCTCTGGACTACAGCGAGTATGCTCCAGTGTCCTAGAGCAACAGAGTTGGCTTCTTTCCCAGCAACGTAAGACATTTGTTCCCCGGGAAAGGCAGGAGAGAAGCAGCTGAGCAGAGCTTCATGCCTTTTCTGAAGACAGTTCTATTTTCTTTCAGTCGTGGACTAAGGGTTAGCGTTCTCAAAACACACCATTTCTCCAGTCTTTCTCCAGATCACCTGGTAAGATTTCTGAGAACAGCTTATTAGTTGACAGAATGCCCCTTGTGTCCTTTGGGTGCAACTTCCAGGCCTTCCGTATTCTCATCTAGCGCTGACTCCATTTCAGCAATTCGTTAAAGTTTTCACTGAATTGTACTTACTGACAGGTGTGGTCTCCAGCAGTGTACAATACAGGGAAGCAGGTGCTTGTGTCCTGTACGCTTTAAGGCAGACGTATCCTTAAAATGTGGGTTAGTTGGTTGCTCTTTGACCTCAGCTATTAGATATCTATTCAAGAAAAGTTGGGAATTTGCAGATTGATTACACTATGTTGTTTTAAGGATGGGAGCAATGATCTTGTCAACTTTCCATATGCTAAACTGGAAGCTATGAATCGTTTAGCCGGTGACTGATTAAGAGCAGTTACAGCAAAATGAAAAGAATTTAATTATGTTGCCCTTCTTAGTACAATAGTAGATGACTTTTCTTGAATATTAGAGCTATTTTATACCAGATACTTTGGGAAGAACTTTTCATGATTCTCTCACCATTGATCTTCATAACAATTCTAATTGCCAAAGATCATAGAACAAAGATTTGAGCTCAGGATAGCTTTTCCATGTACAATGTGGTTATTACCAATTTTATTAGGGAACATGACTTTGTTAATCTTATTTGTTAAATATTTATTGAAGACTACCAGGTTCTGTCACTGTTCTACTACTGGGATATATGTAGGGCTAAGAATAGAAGAACAGATAGGGTACTTTTTCTCATTTAGCTATAAAGAAGTGTAAGCAAGAGATGGTGGGGACTTAGAATAGGAAAGCTTAGACTGTAAGAAGTATTCCAACTCTTACAGGGCTTACAGTGTAACATTCTGTGATTATATATGTATACTTTTAACTGGGACTTTGCAGTGAAATACGTTTATTTTTCTCTATATGAGATTGACCAAATCTTGGCTGTGGGAAACAGCCCCACAACAGAGTGGGTCTGAGGAACAGCATGTGTGATTATGGAAGAGAAGAATAATAGACAATGGAGCATACAGAGCCTCTTCCTAATATTGGAAATGAGAGAGCGAGGGCCAGTTTATTAACAGTAAATGTAGTGATGAGATATGCAAACCTCCATCAGGCACATACACGATAGATTGGGCAAAGGGTGACTCGGAGATATCCCAACATCTTTGGGGAGAATACCTCAAAGGAAGTGTCCGGCAGGTGAGTGAGCAATGTTGCAAATGGTGGCAATGGCTCTATAAGAATATGAAATAGGTGCATAAGCAAATGTGGTGAAGAAAGCTGATGGTGCCCTGCTAGCAAAAGATATAGTGTCTGGGGTCTTAAACGCTTGAAGGTTAACAAGTGGCTATCTAGCTCAGAAGCAACAAAGCCCACATGAAAGAAGCACACCGACCTGTGTGATCGCAAGGTGTTGAAGGGATCAGGTATCCGGCATCATCAGAACAAAAAATCTTACCATAGCAAATGAGTGGGGGAGTGCAGAGTGGAGACCCAAAACCCATTTGTAGGCCACTGGAGATCCCCTTGCAGAGGAGTCTCAGGGAGGAGACGAGCCAGACAGGGTGCCATGTAGCAATGATGAAAAATACAACTTTCCTCTAGTTCCTAAATGCTTCCTCTGCCCCCCACTATCATGATCCCAATTCTACCTTGCAAGTCTGCCTAGACCAGAGGGTGTACACTGGTACAGATAGGAACTGGAAACACAGGGAATCCAGGGCGGATGATCCCTTCAGGACCAGTGGTGTGAGTGGTGATACTGGGAGCATAGAGGGAAAGTAGGTTGGAAAGGGGGAACCGATTACAAGGATCTACATGTAATCCCTGGGGGGCGGACAACAGAAAAGTGGATGAAGGGAGACGTTGGACAGGGCAAGATATGACAAAATATTAATTCATAAATTATCAAGGGCTCATGAGGGAGGGGGGAGTGGAGAGGGAGGGGGAAAAAAGAGGACCTGATGCCAGGGGCTTAAGTGGAGAGCAAATGTTTTGAGAATGATGAGGGCAATGAATGTACAAATATGCTTTACACAATTGATGTATGTACGGATTGTGATAAGAGTTGTATGAACCCCCAAAAAACTATTAAAAATAAATAAATAAAATAAATAAATAAATTTCATTATCAGCATTGGGTATATGGTACCATTGAATAAAAAGTAATCAACAGTAAAAAAAAAAAAGACTATGAAACAACAGACAGTGAATGTTTTAGAATACGCACGTTCTTAACTATGTGTGAGAAACTAGGTGTCTGTAGGATGTAACATCATTTTATAGAGGCTACATGTGAAGATCCTGTTTCCTAAAGAATATTTACATCTGTCTTCCTCTGAACTTATAGGAAAAGGGTGGGTACTTTGTCATAAGTACTGGGCAATTAAGGGGCAAAGGAGAAGCTGACTCCTAGTGTGATTAGAACAAAAGGAACCTTGTCTGCTTTTTTAAGATGGGCTTTTACAGCTGGTAGCCAAGAGCTGGGTGCTTGGAGGATGATTTTAGGTTTTATCTCTAACTCAGAACTGGGAGAGTCCTCCCCCACTAGAGCCACTTTTCCATCCCTGTAGTTACAAGTGTAGAGATTAGGCTGCTTGTTTTTTCATCCAGCTTCTTAGTTGCCCACACGTGGCTTAGACTCTTTTTCCAGAAAAAATATATAAATGTGTTAAGGTTTTCTTTATGCACTGTTGCAAGGGTTGTCAGGGTGAGTTCCTGAAGTCTTTTCTCTTTGACAGCTGGAAGAGAAGCCTGAGAAGAACTTAGGGGAGCCAGGTCCTTCCACTGACATCAAAGGGGCTTTGCGGAAGGAACGGGAGGCTCACAAGAAACTCCTTGCTGACAGCCATGGCCTAGTGATGGATCTGCGCTGGCAAATCCATCACAGTGAGAAAAACTGGAGCCGCGAAAAGGTAGAACTTCTTGACCGCCTGGACAGAGATCGACAGGAGTGGGGACAACAGAAGAAGGAACTTCTTTGGAGGATAGAGCAGGTATGAAAGTACGGCAGGCAGCCGAGAACATGGCAGAGGACGTGGGTAACTGACTCATTGCCATTGAGTTGATTTGGACAGGTAGCAACGCAATATATAGGGTTTCTAAGACTCTAATCCTTATGGGAGCAGATAGCTTCGTTTTCCACCTACAGAGCATCTGGTAGATTTGAACTGCCAACTTTGCAGTTAGCAATCCCATAGTTGTCACACAATGCCACCAGGGCTCTGAACTGACCTGGAAATTAAGAACACTTATGAAACAAAACTGTAGAAACCAGGCTCCGTGAGTTCTGGCTTCGGTGGTGTGGGTCCTGAGCTTCCACCAGAAAACAAGGGAGCACCGGAATATCTAGCACTGGCAGCCCAGACTTGTGCCCTTTCATTACACAGACTTTCCCACTTCAAAGTCTGGAGGCAACTTTCTTGGGAATGGGGGTGTGGTGGGGGGAGGGAAGGAATGCAAATGGTGGGGGGAAGTAACTTTTCAAAGGAATTTAAAGACAAAACTTGAAAACTGAGGTTATTTCAGGTCTTATTCCGTGATGTCAGCCAAATTAGCAAACTAACTTTTCCGTTTGCCACTGAGGATGTGGTCACAGTGGCTGCTCCAGCTTGAATGGATTGTTCATTAGTACAGGAATTGCTGACTTCAGTTGGGAGTCAGGCTGTTTGCTGCTGGTTGCAGCTGTTGTGAATAGTGCTGAGTTGTGATTAGACAGGACCCTCATCAGGCGAGGGAGTTAAGCCTCTTCAGCGCTAAACAAGTGATTCAGAAAGCCCAGGATTGGGGGGACGAGGATGGGGGAAAGTAGCCCAGATAATCATTCTGTGGATTAATTAGGCTTGGGACAGTTGGCTGAATTGTAGTAGCTCCTGCGTGATGCACACACTAGATTGTCACATTAAATCTAGTGATGTGGTTTTGATGAAGGTTTGGGATTCCTCCCTGGCTAGATCATTACATAGCATAGTTAATTTATTCTGGCCTGTCACACTTTTGCATAAAGCCTCAAGGAAATTCATTAATCAATGACACACTGAATTCAGGAAAAAATAACCTCATTACTCCATAATAAGTATTGATTCTGCCTGCAATTATGTGGGAGGCTTTTGAAAAATGTGCCCTGGTCTCCACAGACATTGTACCTGTTGTGCAATGGTAAAGGTTAGTTCAAGCATAATATGAGAGAGCGAGGGAAGGAATTTTAACTATGTCGTCAAAATAAGGAAGAAAGTAAAAGACTGAGTAACTTTCTTTGGCTTAGAAACCGTCGAGAAGAAGAATGTTTTTGCCCTTCCCAAGTTCAGTTATTCATAATGGAGTCACCTGACTGATTTTGATATGACTACATTTAAAACTTCCTTAAATTCTGTTAAAAGGAATGTTAGCTATTTCCTGTTTGGTTTATAAATGTAACACTTGGGAAGAGTCTTCTATACTAACTGCTGTCATGTGCCTGAGCCCCACTGAGTAGTTGGAAGTAATATAGAAGTAATTGGGGTAAAAGTAGCATGTGTCCACATGAACATGGTCACAAGTTTATCATGAATTTATCATAAACAACTGGCGCTAACCAGTATCACAAGTAATTTCAGTAAGAGCTTAATTTATGGTCTTCCCTCTCATTTCTTATATCCCTCCCACACCCCAAGGGGCTGCCCTAGCCCCAGCCATGACCCAATTGGGTCCCCTTTACTGATTTTCTGTAGTGACTTGTTGGTTTTCGCACAGGTTGCATTTTGATAGCCACATTTTAAGGTAAGCAAGTATTTAAATTTTTATTGTACTCTTGGGAATGCCTACCCAGAGTTCCTCTCCAACAAAGGAAGGCTGGGTAAGGCATATTCACTGATTTAATTTTTTTAAAATCATTTTAGTGGGGGTTCTTACAACTCATCACAATCCATACATATGGCCATTGTGTCAAGCACCTTTGTACATATGTTTCCATCATCATTTTCAAAGCATTTTCTTTCTACTTGAGTCCTTGGTATCAGCTCATTTCCCCCATGCCCCTCATTTACCCTACCTCGCTCATGAACCCTGGATAATTTATAATTTTTTTTAATGTCTCCCTTCACTCACTTTTCTGTTGTCCATTCTGCTGGGAGGGGGCTATATGTAGATCATTGTGATCGGTTCACCCTTTTCCCCCTCACCTTCCCCTTCCCCTCCTGGTATTGCTACCCTCATTATTGGTCCTGAGAGGTTTATCTGTCCTGTATTCCCTGTGTTGTGTGAGCTCTTGTCTGTACCAGTGTACATGATCTGGTCTAGCCAGATTTGTAAGGTAGAATTGGGGTCACCACAGTGATGGGCAGGAAGCATTAAAGAACTAGAGGAAAATTGTATGTTTTGTCGGTGCTATACTGCACCCTGACTGGCTAGTCTCTTCCTTGTGACCCTTTTGTGAGGGGATGTCCAATTGTCTTTGGGCTTTGGGTCTCCACTCTGCACTCCCCCTCATTCACATCGATGTTTTTTTGTTCTGGGTCTTTGATGCCTGATACCTAATCCCATCAACACCTCATGAGCACACAGGCTGGTGTGCTTCTTCCATGTGGGCTTTCTTGCTTCTCAGCTAGATGGCCACTTGCTTATCTTCAAGCCTTTAAGATCCCAGACACCATATCTTTTGATAGCTGGGCACCAACAGCATTCTTCACCACATTTGCTTATATACCCATTTTCTCTTCAGTGATTGTGTCAGGGAAGGTGAGCATCACAGAATGTCAGGTTACTAGAACTAAGTGTTTGTGCGTTGAGGGAGTACTTGAGTAGAGACCCAATGTCCATCTGCTACCTTAATACTTAATACGTACGTAGATCTGTTTCCCTATCATTATATATAAATATATTTACATATGTACATGCCTGCATTTAGACCTCTATAAATGCCCTTTGCCTCCTTATTCTTTCCTTTATTTCCTTTTACTTTTCTCTTGTCCCACTATCATGTTCGGACTTCATTCAGGTTTCAGTAATTCTTCTTGGGGACATTGCCCTTGATCAAGCCCCACCAGGCATCCTATACCCTCCTAGCCATTGATTTTTAGATCACTTGTTGTTCCCTTGGTGCTGGGGTTGTTAACACCCACTTCCTTTCCCCTGCCTCCCCTCTTGTGTCACACACCTCACCCCCACCCTCGCAGAATCATCGGTCCCGTTGTTTTCTTCTCTGGATTGTTTATCCCACCTGTCTTATCTAGATAGATATGCAGAGATAATAATAATCCCCAAAACAAGACAGAGCAAAACTATATAACAAAAGAAAAGCCTATAAATAGTTCCAGGTCTGTTTGTTGACCTTTATGAGTTTTTTCCGGTCAAGTCTGATGGGGTGCCATACCTTGGCCACAAAGTCTATTTTTGGTATTCTCAGGGACTTCATTGGTTTGCTCCCCTTGCTGCTCTATTGCATGCCCTTAGTGTCTCCCCTCACCCCACCCCTCCATACCCCCACATCCCAGGCATTGTGGGGTCAGATCAGGCACAATTCCCATACTGTGTCTTCAGTGTTGTCCTCTTAGTGCTATGGGACAGTGAGGGATGTCATGTCTTGTCCGGGCCGGCCCTATGGTCCTCTCTGTGCATTGGCTGCTCTGATCAGGAATATCATTCTCAGGCTTGGTGGGCCAGGATGTGTTCCACAATCTCTCCTTCCCTCTGTGTTTGCTCCTGTGTGCTCTGATCAGATGTACTCCTCTCTCTGAGCTGTAGCTTCAGTGCTGTCCTCTGAAGTACATTCTTTGAGGGAGGGGGCTTGGGTCCACGTAGTTGGGATTGGGGCTGGCCCTGCAGACCTCTCTTTTGTTTTGCTGCTTCATGCCGGTATGTTGCAATCACATCTTGGTGCAGCCGGGTTGAAGTCTGGTCCCTCTCTCCCTCTCCTGTGGAAATATAAACAATACCCTCCCCTTGGGTGGGTTAATGATTCAATTTTTAAATAATTCATCCCCTAAGAATGGTCAGTTGATTGACTTTAAAACAATATTTTAGAAAGATAAGAATGGTTAGGACCTGGACTTTACTTCCAAATTGTTATGATTACAACATTTTACAAAATAACTTTTGAGCATGAGTAGTTATTTGCACGAGTTTTAACCATTCGTCTGTTGATGTGAATCCCATAGTTTCTGTACAACGATTTCACTGCTGTTTAAAGATGATTTATTATCAAATTAACTGATGCTTCAGAAATATAATTCTATCTTTCAAAAATCTAGTCTTTCACCTAAAGGTGAAACATATTCAAGGAATATATTACAAAACTTGGTGCCAAGTCCATTCCAGGATGCACCCCTACCTGAAACGATTGCGGAAGAAAAACATGAGCATAAGCAAAGGTGGTAAAGAAAGCTGATGGTGCCCGGCTACCATAAGATATAGTGTCCAGGGTCTTAAAGGCTTGAAGACAAACAAGCGGCCATCTAGCTGAGAAGCATCAAAGCCCATGTGGAGGAAGCACACCAGCCTGTCTGACAACGAGGTGTAGAAGGGATCAGTTATCAGCCTCAAAGAACTTAAAATCATATCAGTGAGTGCCCGCTCTCCTGACACAATCACTGAAGACAAATGTGTGCATAAGCAAATGTGGTGAAGAGAGCTAATTGTGCCCCACTATCAAAAGATATAGCATCTGGGGTCTTAAAGGCTTGAAGATAAACAAGTGGCCATCCAGCTGAGAAGCATCAAAGCCCACATGGAAGAAGCACACCAGCCTGTCTGACCACGAGGT